TACGCGAGTAACAAGCTCACCCTCCGATTGCATCCACCCTGATGCTGGTCGGTGTCACACATGTCAAGCTTGAGGAGAACACATTGAGCTGCCAAGGATACATCAAAAGTTGTAGGATATCCAACCTCTATATTTGAGCTCACTATCAACAAAATTGTCAGTATATCAGCAATCGGAATTCAGACCCTAGAGGATCAACATGAGCTCATGCTACTAGCATGATGCTAGCGCCTAAGCGAGTACACCTACCGCTGTCAGTCTGGCGCGGCTTACCCGCATTCGCTCGTCTGTCTCGAACGCTCAGATAGCTCTGGTGCACTCCAGATAGGTTTCGGAAACCTGGTTTCCTTTTTGGGTGTATCGTCGATGCTCTCGTGATGTTGGGGCGCAACGTATCCTTCAACGCAACTCGGCCAGATAAACACTTATACACTCGTTATCAAGACATCCTGCAGTGGCCAGGATTGTATTAAAATGCACTCCGGGACATTACAAAGCTTCATTAACCTAAATCGGCTACACAATCGGACTGAGAGTAGTCTCGGAATCGGTCGTCTCCACAGTAGTAGCAGCAACCTCATCGGTCACAGCAGCTGTGCTGACCAGTAGAGGGGACGTTATAGTAGTAGGCTCAACAGAAGCATCGATCGTAGTCGTGACAGTCGCAGCCTCTGTAGCGACCTGGGTGGTAGCATCAGAATCATCCTTGTCTCTGCTGGGAGCTTCCCCAGCTGCCGTGGTAATGGCCACCTCGCCAGTCACAGGAGCTGCAGTGGTAGCAGCAACCTCATCGGTCACAGCAGCTGTGCTGACCGGCGAAGGGGACGTTATAGTAGTAGGCTCAACAGGAGCATCGATCGTAGTCGGAACAGTCGCAGCCTCTGTAGCGACCTGGGTGGTAGCATCAGAGTCATCCTTGTCTCTGCCCGGAGCTTCCCCAGCTGCGGTGGAAATGGTCACCTCGCCAGTCACAGAGGCTGCAGTAGTGACAGCAACCTCATCGGTCACAGCGGGCGTACTGACCTGTAGAGGGGACGTGATCGTAGTAGACTCAACGGAAAATCGATCGTAGTCGAGGCA